CCCCCGTCTGCTCCAGGGGAACGCCGGCCGCCTCCACCCCGGGGGGGAAGCACGGTGTGTCCAGGTACTTCTCCACCACAGCCACGATGTCCGCCGCCGTCAACCCACCTCTTGGAATCACCGGCCAGTCCCAGAGCATGTTGCGCTTCCGGTGGATGAGCTTCAAGGTCGGATACCACTGGACGTCCAGGCGCTCCAAGAAGGCGGGGTTGGCGGGCCCGTCGACAGCCACGAACAGGACCGACGGCCTGTCCTGGAAGGCGGCGGCGGCTTGAGAGAGCGCCGGTTTGAGTCGGTGGCAGGCGGGGCAGTTGTCCGAGTAAACTTCTAGAAGGATGAGTTCCGCCTGGCACAGGCCTGGGACGGAGGTCTCTCGGCCGTAAGGCACGGCGGGGCCCGGCAGCCCACCCAGGAGCCAGTCGATGGCGCCTTCTCCCACCTCCACCACTGAGCCCACCTCTGGCAGCATGCGAGGCGTTTTATTGCCCCCGCGCGCGTCCGTCTCTTTGCTTGGAACTGAGGGAGGGGAGGGCGGAGGGTCTTTCGGACGCTTCCGTGACAAAGAGCTCCCCGAGGCCGACAACGAGGACGAGGAGGACGACAATAAGGAAGGGTACATCTCCATCGGTGGATAGTCTCTTGGGGACCATCCTGAGTCCTGCCCCTCGCCCTTGATGGCTCGCGGAGCGTGATCCGCTTTCCATGCTTCGAGTTGCCTCTGGTTGACACGTACTATTTCGTCCACCCTGTCCCAATGTCTGCCAAAATACTCCGCCGCAAGGATATCCAGCCTCTCAAGCAGGGGAAGCCTGGGCCTGCCAGGGTCCTCGTCGTCCTTTACGCTGCTAGCAAAGGAAGGGGTCGCTAGCAGACCGGGCCCGTGTTGGGGATCAACGTCACCCGCTTTCACGGCTGCGACTGCCTCGACTTCATCGCGCCCGTCCAGTCGCCCAAAGAGCATCGTCTCGGCCAAAGCTAAGGTTTTATCATAGACGTCGCCATCCTCTTTGTTGCAATGCCAAGATTCTAAGACATATTCCGGAAAGCTAGGGAGTGGGGGAGGGGAGGTCGTCCGAGGAGGCTCGGTCATCAAGTCGTCACTCTTCTCTTCCGCGGAAGCATGGCTGGACATGGAGATTCGCAACCTGAAAATGAAGGGCGGAGTGGGTGCGCGAAATGGTGGCGAGGGTTTATAAAAAAGCTTCGTACCATTCTTAAAGGATCTCTCCGTCTGCAGCAAGCCTCCGACTCGCCGAGTATCGCTGTGGCCCTATCGCTTGACGAAGTAAACAGCCACATAAAGTCAACCCTCGACGTACAATCTCTCCACACCAGTGCTCTCTTTTGTTTTAATCAACGAAAATTTATTGTCGAGTCAATAGGACGATCTGGCGTCTCAGCTGCTTCTATTGCCTTGCTACTTCTTCCACAAACACCGCCCGGGGAGGCCTCTGGTATGCGATATGTCCTGCGTTGTGCGGCCCAGTCCCTCCTCCCAGACGCGGCAGGTCTATTAGAGTGGATTGAAAAGCGTGCTGGCCCCAATGCTCTTGGGCAGAAACCACCACTTCCCTTCCAGACGAGAGTGCATGGGTTGGGGCTGAAGGCACCTGATCGAGGCTACTCAGCGGGAGATGTCGTTTTCAGCCTACCGCTAGAGGTGTGGGGACCAGCGTCGGCACCATTCGCACTCGAGGATAGTCAAGCTTCGAACTCTGGATTTTTCCAGGCGCTGTGTGACGTGGACAGAGACCTCGGGGGTGGGAGGCAGAAGCTCCTGGGTCCTGTTGCCCTGGCTGCGCATCTGTCCATGGCATTGATGGACAGGGACAATATCATCCATCCCTTTGCGCGTTTCCTGAAAGATATAGACATGCAAAATACGACGCACCCGTTGCTGCTCAATGCACAAGAACTGCAGTACCTGCAGGCAAGTCCAGCGCGGGGGGCGGTGAGGAAGCGTCAAGAAGTGTACGGGCGCATTCACCATCGTTTATTCGCAAGCCCATCTTCTCCTGGCACGGCGTCCGAAAACAAACGCTCGAGTATTCACATACCGAAAACCACCTTCTTTTGGGCCATATCTCGGGTGCTCTCCCGCGCAGTATCCGGGCCTCGCCAGCCCCTGTCCTTCCTGCCTTTCTTCGACCTGATGAATCATCGGCGCCAGTCGAATTGTCTCTACGGCCTGGACGAAAAGACTGGTACGCTTGTTGTAAGAAGCTCACGGCCGATAAGGCCAGGAGAAGAGCTGTCTCTGTGCTACAGTGACAGGAAGGACAATCACCAGATGCTTGTCACGTATGGATTCGTCGAGGCGGGAAACCCCTCAGGCGTGACGCTTCGGGTCGATGTGCCTAGGGACCAGACAGAGCAGGAACTAGGGTATGGGGATCAATATGTTGAAATGGCGCTAAAGAGCAATATTAGCATGGAACAGGAGGCTGTGCTGTTGGAAGAAGCGGTGAATGAGACCTGCAAGAGAAGCCGACTGTCGACAGGGCAGGCGTTGGATGTGATATCACACGCATTGAACCGAGGCTTGGAGCTTTATGATACGTCCTTAGAGCGTGATCTTGAGGCCCTGCAAAGCCTGGAAGAAGAGAAATGGGAGGCAGAGGGGAGGCAAGCGTGGCGGCGAACATGTTTGTCTCTACTCGTAGAGGAGAAGACAGCCTTGCGGCGAGGCCTGAAGGCCGTCCAAAATCGAAAAGAAAAGTCTAGATAGATAAGAGCAAGGAGGTCAGAACAAGAGGCCAGGGAATCCATATTTTCAGTATCTCCCCTATTTGATTATCTAAAGTTATTGAGATAGAGAGATCTGTGTCATAGAAGCTGCTTCATTTGAGAGGCAGGCCACTTCACACACTATTTGCACGACTTCTGCCTCCTTACGGCAATCCAGGCATGAAAGTGCAAAAATATCGAGCATTTTATCAAACAATCTTATAGGAATACACCTCGCATCCGCCCGCTTTGCATGATACTAAACACTCTCGACGCATTTTTTAGTGACCTGCTTTTCGTGCTACCTTACCCCCCCTTCGCTACTCCTGCATATGATCTTGTCGAAAAATGTGTGCTCTCCTTTTCCCATATTTATGTCCATCGGATTGATGGTATCATCGCCCAGTACATAGGTTGCATTCCTCGAATAGTATATAGCTGTAAAATTCTCGCTTCCCCTCTTGTATCCCTGTCTTGCGCAAAATTCGCTCGCTGCTGGTTCTCCGCAATCATGTCCATGCTTTGCGACAAGTGAGTTGTCGGGCCCATAATTCACAAACTCATAATGAAGACAATAGTCAATGGGGGATCCATTCCACGTCGGATTCATGAAGCGGCTAAGCGCCCCTACCGTTGCAAACTGGGACGCCGACAAAGCAGGCCGCGGAGCACCTCCAAGTAACAGGACAGAAGCTATTAGTAGACTGCTACGTGCGACGACCATTTAGCTGGACGAGTTGGGACGGTGGCCTTGCTCTTGTTCTACTTTTGCTCCCTTAAACCTCCCCTTTCTCGATCTCCTTCTCTGCGTCGGTGTAAAAAATGCATCGACATCATGCGACATAAACAACGTAAATGAGCTATTTGTGTGTTTGAGTGGGACCGCACTATTGTTGTCAATTAAACCACACAACCAGCAGGCTTTTTACGCGCTATCAACGGGTTTGGACCTGGAGGGAAGCAACTCTAAAGCCCGAGAAACTAGGCAAGAGAAATGTGCATCGGCGTAGTTTCCCGACAAATAATTTCCCTTTTGAAGAACAGTTTCGTTCTCGATTGTCCTGTAGAATTCTTCGTCGTTCGATGCACGAAAAACGGTGCACGTGACCTTTTCGAATTATGTCGGGGAAGCAAGCACCCAACGATTCGGAGGCGTCACGCAATCGCTCAAAAGAGACATGAACGCAAGTGCTATCTGCAAGTACTGCCGCCCTTCCCCGAGAATTGGACGTGCAATCCGCACTTAGAAACTCTGTAGCGTGTTCCAAGTATAACTGCATTTCACGGGGAGACCATTTATGACATGGCTTTCACTGCTTTGCGCTCCGGCATGTACGATCCTGATCTCTCACGACATCAGGTCCCTTGCTTGAGCGGGGCGGACCAAACGTTCACAACAGTATGTTTTTTTTCGTCAGTTTACGCGGCAAAAACTGAAACTCCGTCTGCAATTATCTTTAATACCCT